CCTGACGTCTCGCAAGGGTCAACCTCGTTGGTCTCATCATGCTACATGCGCCAATCATAAATGTTGGCCCTGCCCAACACACCATGATAACGAAACAGGGGCAACAAGAGACGTTAGCTCATCGGAAGGGTTTAAATTGAGGCTATCACCGGCAGGGAATTGTTCTGGCGGTGCCAATAATTATGCGAGAAAACTACCCGCGTCGTCGCCGGCTTGCGATACCTTTAATTCCTGTCTACCAATGCTACACCAATTCAGCCTGTGGCCAAACCCTCGTCTATAACAAAAACGCCAATTACCTACTAATACAATGACCTGAAGAGCCAAAACAAGACTTTTTCACCGCCCTTCTTCCACCTGGGGGCCATCGTTGCGCTCACCCGTGTCCTCGTCGTGGCTCTCCAGCTGAATCGGCCCCTTCTTCCTCGGCTCAGTGACTAGTGACAACGCAGCCCACGTCAGCCCAGCAAGCAGCGAGACATAGAACCACGGCAACCCCCTCCAGGCGCCCTTCTTCTCCAGCCCGACGGTGAACGTCCACGCCAGGGCTGGGCCGCCGAGCGGGGAGCCCAGCGTGTCCACCATGCTGATGAGCGCGTACAGCCGCGACGTGTGCTCCTGGTCGACGAACTCGGTGATCATGGCGCGCACCAGCGGCCAGCTCGCCGAGCCGAAGGTCGTGACCGACAGGCCCACCAGAAACACCACAATCTCCCAGCTGCAGCCCTCGATGAAGCCGCCGAGCGCGATCATCAGGTACGAGCCCTTGGCGAGCAGCGCGTCCTTCCCGAAGCCCGAGCAGCGGAAGCGGCCTCGCGGGTTCGTCAGCACCTTGGACAGCCAGGGGAGGATGAAGAGGATGCCGAGGTGGAGGAAGCTGAGCGGCGACAGCAGGAAGGACGTCTGCGCGAGCGTCCAGCCGAAGTGCTTGCTGACGTACTGCGAGAGCGTGCTGGAGTGCGAGGCGTGCAGCGCGCTGGCGAGCAGGGAGGGCACCAGGCAGAGGAGGATGTTGCGGTTGCGGAGGATGTTCATGGACTGCTGCAGCTCGCGCAGGCCGTTGGCGAAGGAGTCGCGGACGGCGTGGGCGAGGGGAACCTGGGGTTTGGGGGGGCTGTCGGTCTTGACGCGGAGGGTCTCGGGGAGGAGGGCGCAGATGAGGAAGATGGGCGGGGTGAAGAGGAAGACGAGCTTGATGGGCAGCCAGGGGCCGTACTGCTCCATGAGGTAGCCGGCGGTGACGGGGCCGATGAGGCCGCCGAGGACGGCGCCGACGGAGAGGTAGACGAAGTTGGAGGCGCGGTCCTTCTCGGTGCTGATGTCGGCGGCGATGGCGTACACGTTATTGAACATGACGACGATGCCCCCGCCGATGACGCCGAAGACCATGCCGACGAAGAGGAAGTAGATGTTGGCCTCTGGGAAGAAGGAGAGCATCAGGGGCGCCCAGCTGAAGGTGAGGACGGTGCCGAAGTAGGCGAGCAGGAGTACCGCTTTGCGTCCGATTCTGAAATGTGTTGGCATGCTTGTGATCTTCATGCATGGGGGTGCGACAACTCACCTGTCAGAAAGGATGCCATAGGGAAAGGCGACGAGCATGTTGATGATAGCGCCAAGCAGCGACTGCCACCCAAACAGCCACGCCATATCCTTCTGCACCGGGTCCACCTTGCACTTCATCTCGGGGATCGTCTCCGAGTGCGGCAGCCGGTAGTGCTTGTGGCAGATGTCGTCCTCGATGAGCCGCAGCATCGGGATCATGAGCAGCGTGCCGCTCGTCGTGATGGAGAACTTGAGCAGCGCCAGCATGAGTATGACGGCGCGCGGCGAGCGCACCTGGAACCGCAGCAGCGCGTCGTTGATGCGCACCCCGACGGCCCAGAGCGCGCTCCCCACGGCGCTGCTGCCGTTGCCGCCGCCGGCCCAGCCGCCGAGCCCCGGGGGCGACCTGCTCCATTTCGACCGCGTCTGCTCAAAGGCCCGGACCGGCGCGGCGTCGGCGGGCAGGCCTTCTAGGTCGGCGAACTCGGCACCCATGAGGTGTGCGGCCTCCACTTCATCTGACAAACGTGGCATTCTGACTTTTGAGAAGGCCGGTTTGCTGGAGCAGCAAACCCTAAGCCACTGGGATTAGAATAAGAATATAGAAGAAAGGGGAAAGGGAAAGTGATGATCTTGAGCGTACAAAGGAAAAATGTCAAAGGGAGCGGATGGGAGGAAAGGGGGAATGAGTGCAAGCTGACGACGCATCTGGAGATTCAAACTCCATCGCCAAGCTCTCTCTCCAGTTTCAGCTGCGCCCGCGGCGCGCGGGTGCCAGCTTTGGCCCCGAAGCTTGCCGGAGCAGGCCTCGCAGGGCGATCTGGGTCATCTCCAGGATGTTGGTCGGCGACCCCTGAGTCGCGATATGGCGATACCTCCATCGTGGTGTAAAATGGCCCGATATGAGAGTATCTTGCTAACACAAACGCCCACAAGCCAATCTGCAAGCTCCGCTGGTCCCCCAAATTCACGCGTATTCGCCTAAGCAATGACAGCTTATTTTAGCACTGGTCAGCTCCCTAGCAGGGGCCTACCGTGCTGCCGGGCTCGCTGAACGCGCCGGACCGACACTTTTAAGCAGCCGGTCCGCAGCGGAGGTTAAAGCTTGCTGTTCCGTTCTCTCCGGTGCACTCTAGTAGCTCTCACGGTGCTCTATGAAGCTTCCGTGGAAGCGATGCGGTATTTAATAGACATGAAGCTTGTTGATTTTTATCTGTCCAATATTCAGTGTTATGAAAGAGCGCATGGAAGCGGAAAGGATCCTATTGAGATGAGATATCTGGGCGGTGTTCACCACACCCGAACATCTACACATGTTGCTTTCATAATTGAAGCTCAGCGTGACTAACGACGATACGTCGCGCTGAACTTGTAGCGGGGAATCGAGCGCGCGAGAACAGGTAAGTAACCAAATATTGATTAGGCGTGCGGCGATAAACATGCCAGTGTGAGATTTACGGTTACAGTAAGTAGTGATTTCTGTAAGTCCATGTAGGGAACGCATTGAGATTATCCAGGTGACAGCCAAAAACCTGCCAGATTGGAGAGAGAAAAAAAAAAAAAAAAAAAAGAAAAAAAAAGGGAAGAAGAAGAAGAAAAACCCTTATGAGTATTCTCACGGATTCTCAACCACAGGGAAACACATCGTTACTAGCACCAAGTGATGTAAAACATTCTGATATTGCTTTTCATATTTCAATTATAGACCAATCTCTTTTATCACTACCTTAGCTAAACAAATAAGCTCAGATCGACCGTCCGCCTTTGACGTTTATTGATATTCAGTCGACTCATGAAATTGGATGGGTCTTTCATTCGTCAAAAATCTCCAGGATTGACCGTGACGAAGATCCTCTCCTAGGCATTTTTTCCAGAAATCCCATGATTGATGCCCAGTCATCGTGCGTCTCAGTTCCATAGTCGTACCAGGCACGGATGACCATCGTGTACTTATCCGGGCACAAGATTGAGTACTCTGTTCTGTCGGAACAGTTCGCACACTTTTCTTTGAACTCTTTACCAACATTACAAACCGCTTCCCAGAAGCTCTTATCGAAGGGTGTGCTTGAATATGTCCTCTGTAAACGATGTTTCTCCACGAGATCCCACACTTTCAAGGAACTGTACGTGAAAGCTATGATCATGTGAAAACAAACTAGCGTCGCCCGTCTGGTTTGCGAGTGTACGTCTTCAAAGTGGCGCTCGCCGTAACTTTTGAATATCCATTCATTCCTCAGAAAATACCTGCCAGAGATGATTTTTGGTACGGCCGCGTAGTACTGAAGGTGATCATATTTGTCGGGTTGACAGTATGGAGTCATGAGGTTCTCGAGATACTCTTGATGAATGTTCCCGAGCCGAGATAATTTCAAAGCTGTTTGGACGTGTCGAGGACGAACTCTATACGGATTGAGCGACATATCTGGCCACCTATCATGCCCCGATCCCAAACAAGGAGGCATAACGTGGTTCTGGGGCACACCGTCCCCGTCGATTCGATGCATTCTATGGCAATTTTGGCACACTGAATGATTGGACGAGTCGAACGCAAGCTTGGCCCAGAATACGAGCTTTCCTACGAAAGGAAGTTGGCGAAGAAATTGTTTCCAGTCCCTTCTGTGCGAGGGCTCGAAAGCGGGCGCAGGTCCTCGAGAGGATCACCACACTGACAATATCGAGGTAGTCGATGGTGTTCAGGAGAAGCTCTGGGGGTAGTCGAAGGAGATGAGCTCGTGCGATCGTCTTAAGAGAACGAGTGTTGCGGAGATCGAAGCCGCTGTGGGACGTCGTGTTGTCGATATTTGTCATGATGGGCGTGGACTTGAGTTGTTGTTTGGTAACTCATCAACTGGAATCTAGTATGCATACAATGCAATTTCTGCGGTAAATCTCTCATTGCCGAATAGAGTTTATGACATATTTGCGGGCCTACAGTGCAAAAGTTGGAAGCATTTGTGTAAAACAGCACCAACCTTGAGAACCAATAGGCTTTCCACCCATGCGTCTTTGGTCGGGTGATGTGGCGTAAACTTTGATGCGTACGCTTCAGGTTGGATAGACAAACAGGTAATCGTTCTGGCTGTGAACATCACAGCCGAGCAGAACCTAGAATGGTTGGCCTTGGGATTCAGGTTGACGGATTCATGATCAGCGGTGAGCTTTAAGAGATTCAGTGATCAGGGCAGGTACCTACCCTGTGTTCATTAGCATTGCAACGCCTGGATAATGTATCTTCTGTGCTCATCTGATTAGTCGGAATGGACGCGCAGCCCAGGATTTGCTATTTCCTCCTACGGTTGGCCAAAGTGCAGCAATAATCCTCAAAATATCAAAATTTCTCACGAGACACTTGAACTGGATGTGATAATCGAGTTAGGTGAGTTTACATCCAGGCCGAACAGAGCATCGTTATCAACGTTGTAGTGCGTAGTTGCATGTTTAGCAGTGAAAGATCCACGTTATTTGTTGTATAGCCTCCTGATGGAGGGCTTCCTATATCTGCAGTGATTACGGTCTTCTAACCACAGGTTATCCTCAACGTACCAAGAGCGAATAACTACCGTATACTGATTAGGACACCATATTGCGTACTCCACTGCGCACTTATAGCAACTGTTGCTGAAGCCGTGCCCTATATAGCTGATAGCAGACCGGAAGTCGTTCTCGAATTCAGGTTCGCATAAATGACTTGGTCGTTCCCAATCAAGATATTGTCTCTCATTCAAACTGTGCGCAATGCCCAAGTGTGGGCAGACGAGCGGAATTCCCTCCAGTTGCTTGTTGATGGTAAACATTTCCTTGTTCCAGGGATACTCGCAACCGCGGCTATCGAAGATGCTCTGAAATTTCCATTGCTTCTGCAGAAGGAAATTTCCATCGACGATCTTTGGCACGGCGCGGTAGTGCCTGAGACAGCTACCCTTCAGGGCGCGGCGATATATGCTGAACGGTGCCATAATCTTCTTGAAGTATGCATTGTTGATGTTTCCAAGGCGAGAAAGCTTCAGGGCCATTTGCGCATGCACCGAGCGCATCTGGTACGGATCGAGTGTCCTGAGGCTAGCCCTACGATTGTTTCTTTGGCAAGATGGTGTCCACTGTTTATGTGGCACATATCTTTGGTTGATGGGTTCGATTTTGTGACATGAGTGGCAGAACCAGTGGTTTGGCATATCGTGGACGATTCTTAACCAGACCTTCTCGTATGCCCACCATTCGCGAGATATAGGTGCCCAATCCGTATCGAGAAAGATCCGAAACGAAGCGCAAGTTCTTGACAGAATCGCCTTGTCGATGATTCCGAGGTGTTCGATGATTTGCAGCACAAGCTCCACGGGTAGTTGTAAAATGGCTGAATTATCGTTGCTTGTTCTGTTTGTTATTTGGTAGCGAGCTTGGCGCAGGCCTGTATTGGTCTCGGTGTCCGTCATTGTTGGTTGGGATAAAGATTGTACGAAACGAGATTTAATCAACTTGCACGGTATTGAGAAAAGGAAGAAAACCCAAGTCCTCGAGCAGCGTTCGGGTTCATTTTCTTTCTTCGAATAGGATGAAAGAGATCACCTCTGTGGACCATTCTTTCCCGATAACAAAGTTTAGAAATCTGGCGGACATTGGTGCTCTTTGGGTCTGTGCGTGTATTCTGTCAACTTTTACCTGTATGAAGCTGGCGGAGACATACACGAGGACCAGGATGGATCACGTAGAAACCTCTATAGCTATGCCATGGAGGATATAAAGGGCTGCCAGCTGCCTTTTGGAGTTTTCCTATAACATGACAACTAATCATTCCGTTACTTCAACACCAAGATGTGCCTGTCATCCTCACTGAGCTACATCACAAACCTTCCCAACCGCCTGAGGGGCGGTTCCAACCCGACTGTCACCGCCCAGAAGCATGATGCTGAATTCGGCATGTCTCTTAGCCGAAGACGTAGCCCTCATACGGCAGGCTTGGCTCATTCCGAACCGCAAAATTCAAAGGATTTTAGGCAGCTATCAGAAACCAGGGTAACAGGGGACGATCTACCCCGCGAGTTAGCCACGCAGATTCTTGAGAATGTGGTAGTCCAGAAGGAACGCTAGCATTCTGTCCGGCCACATCACCCCTGACACCTTGGCCAACACCATCCGAGGCTCGCGGCTGTTATGTTTGCAAAAGTTACGCCTTGTGATAGACGTAGATCTATCGGGCTTCACGACTATTGTCGACTACCCACGGCGTCGAATGAGACTGGGGGCTGACTTCGCCGATGTGATGGACGGTTTCTTCGACACAATGGCCGCTTGGAAGCGCGACGCGTCGTTCGACTTGGATATCCACGAGGACCAGTCATGCGGCCATCATCTCAATCATTTGGGCAGCAAACTCGCTCAGGGCACCCTGCGGACAGTCCACTGCGTCCGTTCCATCCGGCATCTGGAATTCAACTGCGACAGATGCCGGTGTTGTTCCTATCGGGGACTCTTGTCATATCTATGCTCAGCCATGAAAGGATCAGACAACTTAAGGAGATCTCGTACGGGTACCAAGAGCGGGTTGGTCGCAACCGCTCGATACAATACGAGCGCTGGGACTTCCTGCCGCTTGCAGTCGAATCACTCACCGTACGTGACATGGACGAGCATGGATACTGGTATCGTCCGTCGACAGTTTTCAGAACATCTCTTCTCAGCGCCAGGCATCAACTTAGGACCTTTCGTTGCTCAAAAGCTATAGACGCAAGTCTTCTCAAGGGTCCACGATTAGTCTTGTTAAGGTGGCCATTTCTTCAACATCTGTCGATGACCTTCTTTGGTCTAGGACTAGCCGTGGAAGATCATGCCGACATGATGATGAATATGGCTAAAGTCGCTTGAGGAATTCCCGAGATCAAGCAATTTGAACTTTGGTTTACAGGACAAGATGCAGGAGCACGGGATGCGGGCCACTTTTGCTACACTGTCGACAACAAAAAAGCTCATGCTGTATGGAGTATGAACCGGGAGTTTGATTTATCGGAGATTATCGAGAGTGAATGGGACATCACGGCCAGACAACACACGTCGCGAGGTCTCACAACAGAGATCCGCAGTACAAACCTTGCCCCTGGCGATGTAATACAAGCTCTGCCACCGGCTCGAGAGGAGGCAGCTTTCTTCAGCGAACGTTCTTAAGCTACAGATCGCTCTCAGAAGCAAAAGTTTGAGTATCATACGGACATCGATTTGAGTATAGACGTGAGTATGAAATCTGGGGCGGTGACCAGTTTCATAGATGGGAAGAAGACGACAGTTATCCGTGGTCAGGAGACAAATCAGAAGACAATTATTCGTCGTCAGGAGACGAATCAGAGGACAACTAACCAATCGAACTCAAGTGAACGCCTAGATGTAGACGAGAGTCATTTGGGTCCTTTCGAGAGGCCCGAAGCAACCGCGAGTGAGCTCTTTTGAACGGATCTGGCACTTTCATACCGAACTAGCTTAAAATCATTTGTATCAACTGACAGTCCGACTGAGTTTCACATGGCTGAATACGCTGTTTAGTGCATGTATCTCACCAGTGCAACGTATCGTGACTCGTAGTTTCTGACTCGCTTCTTAGAACTGACCATACGTCTATGTGTTGCGACTCATGCTCCAAGCCTAGGTCGTTTCGTAATTTCCCCGGCCTAGGGTTGTACGGCGAAGGCTGATTGATGTAACAAGCTTTACAACCGTCCGGACTCTAGACGGACTCCGGATGAACAGTTTCAGGTTGATATTAAGTTGTAGATCTACCTAGTTTCGGATCATCATAAAGTCGCCGGTGGGTTGGTACGATAGCCCGCCGGCAGACTACGGACGGCTCCGTCAAGGGCACATCAGAGCATTTGAAGGCGACGATAAAAGGCAGAGCATGGGAACCTCAGCGACTCAAACCATTCATTTCATTTTCATCCCATCATCCTGTCGCCTACCACTTAAAGTTTTATCATTCAATAACTATCGTCAACCTTCTTCGTTCTCACGAAGATCAATATGCACGTCAAATCCATCGCTATTACCCTTCTGGCTTACGCCGCCGCAGCGTACGCGGCGTCGTGCAGCGGAGACTTCTGCGGCAGCGTTGACTGCAGGAAGCAACCCGGAGAACCTAGCTGCATCAACATTTCTAGCGGTTGCACATGTCTTTTGCCTTGAGAGCTTTTGATTTCCTATGGTAAGTGTTGTGCTTACTGTCTGCCTTACTTGAACTGACTTAAGCTCTTGCTTAGGACTGCCGCATTGAGGCTGTAAGCAATACCTCGTCGCAGTATTTAGAACTTAGAACAATCAACTATTTTAACAAAATTGTGCGGCGCAATATACGGTGTGCTCATCAAAACTCCACACTCGCACTATCCGAGCAGATGTTTCAACCCATGTCGCCGGGTTATGTTTGTCTTTCCCTTTTATCGTTCCGATCAAAAAAAAAGGTCCCTTCTGTGGTCCTTTTCGTTTTCCTTGTCATCGTTACTGGCGTCGTTGACATCGTTCCTAGTGTCATTCATGGCAGAGATGTCGCTGACTACGACATGCGGAATCCCGAAGTCCCTAATTTTAGATGACGGAACACCGCTAAACAAATTAAATGGTAAGCTTCAAATATGCTCATGAGGCTGAACGTGGCGATTCGATGCACACACCTGACGGCTCGGTGTGAGTCACCGGGCACGGGCTCAAACCTCCTCAACACAGGGCAGCTTGCTTGGTGAGATGGCGAGACACCATTAATACCCGGATTTGTACAAAAGTCCAGTGGCAGTTTCTCTCGTTTTGTCTTGTACATCAACGAATTTCAGAGATAAATTACGTATTTTGAAGCCACGGCGAATTTCAAACCTCGCCTCCTCACTGAACCCCAGTTACGGCGCCACGAAGAGTGTGCCCTGGAGAACGCCAAAATGGCCGATTGTTGGAGCGGCGAGCATGTGGTGTTTCTTACCTTCAACTTTTCGGAGAAGTATAAATGTCGCTAATATACGCTCATGCCATCACTGCAGCTGGATATCATGGCACCAGCCGACAAGCCCACCTGGCTCTCATCGGTCGGTGATGACAAGAAGCCGATGCGGCAACTCTGTCGGCGAACGATCCGGATGCTGGAAGGGACTAAGTGCAACAAGAAAGTGCGACCAGAGCCATGGTACATGCGGGTTGACTCGAACCAGACGTTTGAGCTGTACAGCGACGATGCGATGAAGAAGGCGCCGGGAATTATCGATGAGCTATCGGCGGATTATGCGGCCATGGGTGTTGTGACGCATGACATCCGGCACACGACGAGGGCGCTGGAGATTTTTGATATGAAGCTGCCGGCGAAAGCTGTACTGGTCGACTTGATCAAGGTGTTGGAACATCAGACTAGGGATGACGGGGTGCCGGAGGAGTTGGCGGCGTACACGGACGACAACATTGCGGTGCGGAACGGGCGGTATGATCGCAAGGCCGGAGTGTCAGGTGGACGGCTCGGGATGCCGTATATTCGGTTGCTGGAGATTGTCAGCCCTGCCGCCGGGGCTCATCGGCGTGATTTCCAAAAGGCCGAAAGGGAGGATACTGCGTTGAGGAGGATTGCCGGGAGGCTGAGGAATGGGTGGAGAGCCTGTTAGTTTAGCTAAATGGCATTCAGCCCCGGGCTTCATTGGGTCTTCAACGAACTGTCGCTTCGGCGGTTAAACGGATGAGTTGTACCTGGAGTGAGAGTGAGTGAGTGAGTGAGTGAGTGAGTGAGTGAGTGAGTGAGTGAGTGAGATGGAAGAATTGTGAAAACGCCAATGGACCGTGCGGCACTGTCATTTTTCGCTGCAGGAGCGACGCGTGGGGGTCCACTTTCCTCGTTCCAGTTGGCCGATTTTGAGTCTCCCCCATCATTCTTTCAGGGAAAGGACGGCCGAGATGTGTGGGGAAGGGGGGCCCTTTTGGGGGAGCTCGCCCATTCCCCGCGTTGAGTCTTGACCCAGCCGCCTGAGGCGGAACTTTGCCAATCTCATCCCCAATTTCAACGATTTCCATCGACATATCTTCAACTTCGCGGCGCACCTCACCGCGTCCTCACCGATGCCGACTCCACCGTGTCCGACGTTGTCTACGCATTGATACGGCGATAATTCCCAAGCGAAGACTGCCTCAGCCACGACGAGCAACCCACTGCCACCGACCATGTCCCCATAGCTACCGTTCATGGCGAGCCACCCTTCTCCAACCCAGCATGGCGTTGCTGGTAACTACAAACGCGCCAGTCGAAAGGGCGCACCTCGACGATTCGTGTGCGACCATCCAGGATGCGAGAAGCTGTACTCAAGGGCGGAGCATCTGCAGAGACATCAACTGAACCGTAAGAAGCTTCGAAGCCCATGCGCGGTCTCACCTGCGCGTCTTAGATGTGCCAAGGACAAGTCAATTGACGCGACTCGCAGACAACCCCAAAGAGATCTTCATTTGCGATGTCCCGGGATGCGACCAAAAGTTCGTTCGAGCTGACCTACTGAGCCGGCACAAGAAGCGACACTCATCTTCATATATCCCCCGTAACCGCGCACCAAGTTTCAGCACTTCCGCTGCCTCTAACGGCCTGTCTGGCGTCGCCGTGTCGTCGCCAACGGCTGCCACCCCCGCCCGACCGGTATTCACTCAGCCAGTCCAGCCATCGTCGTCGGCCGGCCCGCACGATGCGGCCATCCTGCTGACTCCCGACTCTAACGCCACCCCAACGCCTACAACGGGCGCACCTAATGCATCATTAACAGCCAGAGTTGGCCAACCATCAACATGGCCATCAATAGACGATATCTCCGTCAACATGATGCGCCCGAAATCCGATCTATTCGGCCGGGATCAGCCGCCGATACCCGCAGAATCATCAATCATGCCGTCTTTCAATGCAATGGACTTTCAATCGGACGAAGCACTACTATCCCGAGAGAACTTTGCCGTCTGGCTGTTCGATCCTCAAGCAAGTTTCAGCGACTTCAATGGCGTCGCAAACCTCCCTTTCCTCGAGGGAGGCTTGGAATCGACCTTCAACAACAATATCCACTATGACTATGAGTCTTTGACCAGCCGTTCACAGCTAGACCCGACACCGCCAAGGCAAGTGGATGTCAGCGATGAACTCATTGGTGAACACCGACGCCAAGAAGTTTTAAGATGGCTGCAGGTCTTTCGTCAGAAGCAACCGAAGTACGAGCACCGCATTATCAACTTGGTGCAAGAAAGTGGTGGAGATCTCCCCGCACTAAACCTCGACATGATGCGCGACTGTTTGCAGGAGTACTGGAAGAACGTTGCGTCAAGGCTACCCATCGTCCATCAACCGACATTTGCAGCAAATCGATGTTCAATTTTCCTACTCATGGTCATGATTGCGCTAGGAGCTGCATCTTTGAGCAGCAGAGACTCGACAGGAAACCTGGAGCAATACGGAGGGTTCGCCGATGTCGTCATATCCAGCGTTCGTTGGGAGATCCTTACAGCTGAAGAGGCATCACCGCCGGTGGGATTGGCAATTGCGCAGTCACTATTACTCCTGGAGTTCTACGAGAAGATGTTCTCGTCAAGGCGATTCCATGAGCGAGCTCACATCTATCACTCCGCCACCTTGACCCTCCTCAGGAGAGGTAGTCCTCTTATTGGAAGAGCGGGGAGTGAATCGCCGCCGGAAGAACAGGCCCCCACCTCCAACGATGCAGCATCATTGGACTCTAGGACATGGTGGGTGCGATGGGCCGAGTCGGAAGCGATGCATCGCGTCGTGTTTGCTGCCTTCATGTTAGACATCATCCACGCGGCCATGTTTGGACACACAGCGGACATGGCACCCCATGAGATCCGACTTCCTCTGCCTTGTGATGATGCTCTTTGGACAGCTGCCACTCCTGACGTATTCCGCCAGCTCGATGGCAACTACCGCATGTACGGCATCAAACAGGTTTCCTTCCTCGATGGACTGAAGAGCGCTCTACATGGCCAGGAGGTTAAGACACATACTTTCGGACGGATGATCATCATGTCAGGTCTACTGAGTGTTGGGTGGCATCTGTCCCATCGAGAATCCCACCTCAAGTGGCTTGACCTGCGTACACCGAGTACTGAGACGCACGACAGCTGGAAGAAGATCTTGCTGCGGGCTTTTGACGAATGGAAGGAGAGCTTCGACAAGGCCGTCGGTGCGAACGACACACCTGAAGCACCAGGTCAACCATCGAGCCCCAATGGTCCGATTCACTCAGCCGCTGCACTCTATCACTTAGCATACATCAGCCTTCACGTTGACATTGTTGACTGCCAAGTATACGCCGGCGCCAAGCGTTTGGTTGGACGTAAGGTTTCCACACGAGATCATTCAAATGCCGTTGCGCGGATGAGGACCTGGTCCAACGCAGCCTCAACACGACAGGCCGTCCTCCACTCTTTCAAACTGCTCTACCGCGTCCTCGTGGACCAGAGAGGACCTAAACGGCGAACAAGTAGTTTCGGTTCACTTCCTGAGCCGGTTTCAGTCTTCTACTCATGCCGCACCGAGCCTGATCCACATCGCCCGTGGATCATGTACTATGCGGCGTTGACGATCTGGTCATTTGTTCAAGCACTTGGTATCCCAAATAAGAACGCCCCACCTGGACGGTACAGCGAAATCGCCAGGTACCTAGCCCACTTTGCCACACTGGACGAGTTGAATGATGAATCAGCGATGGACCTGAATGAGAGACTGCCAGAACTCCTCGACTTATTGAAGACGAGCCTCGAGCAGTCCCATTCCGAGTTGCTGCGGGAAGCAAGTGACCGATTGAAGCTCTGCCGAGAAATGCTGCGGTAGTTCACGCCAACAAGTCACTTATGCACAGGAAGTCGGTTGTTGTCGCACGCGATATGTACTTATCGATCACGGCGTCTTATTTGTGTGGCAAACCCTTTTCGTCGGTGGGGGGACCTTGCGGGACGAACTTTACGTGATTTCTGCGGCGAGGGGCTTACTCATACCTGAGAACCTCACTGGTTGCTCATATCCCGGGACTGGATGGCCATGGAAGAGCGTAACAAGTCGGTCGGGAGTTGGCTTCATTAATAATACCCTACCTAGTTCAAAACAATTTGACGAAGGCTTCTTTGATCACCTCTTTTGTATAACAAGTGGAGAGCATCTGATAATGACAAGAGACGCCTTCAACTGTCTACAGCCGTGTCAGCTCTGCGACTAAGTATCCAAACTTGGCCATCTGATTATTATCTACAAGGCTAAATGGGACGAAAACAAGGAAAAATGCATCATCTATCAAATACCACCAGAGATTCTTCTCTATGTCATGAAATGCCTGGATGCGCCTAGCATGTATATGGCACGGCAGGCATGTTCTCTGATGCGGTCTTTTTTCAACGACTTCTCCTTCGGATATTTTCATTACGTGCTCAGAGATAAGCAGGACCACATCGTCCCCGGAGCCCCCCTTGGTTTCAGACACTATGCGCTCCTTGGACACAAATCGGATATCGTCAAACTTTTGCGATCTGACCAGACCTGTCCTCTCCGTCATGTATCCGTAGTCTCCGAGGCCTGTCGCCTGCCGGGCATTTCCCACGATGCGCGTCAGGTCGTCTTTCGAAGCGACGAGTGCTGGGACGTCTTAGGGATTAGAGAGGGAGAGGAACCACCGACGATATATCGGAGATGGCCGAGGATAAACAACGATTGGACGATCAAGGTCGCGACTTTGACAGAGGGGCAGGTCGTAACCATGGACCTGCTCCGACAGGGCCTGAGGAGGATCGACAGCTTGCTGTGTCCGCACACACGGTCCACACAGGAGATCCTAATGAAGCCGTTTTGCAGGCGCCGTTGCGTGTGCTTCCGCGAGTCCACGGGTGCGGTGCAGCGGTGCTACGGGCACCCGCGCCCACGTCAAAGAACCGACTGTTGCGCCTGCCTGCAGGTGCTATCCAAGGACGAGGCCCCTGTTGGAATGTTCATGGCTAGGACGGTGTCGCATGGTGTTCGGTGTGCCAGCTGCAATATTCATTATGACTGGACTCTGGATGAGGGTAACGTCCTTCTGACAGTGAAGGGACCTGTCAAGCGGTTTCCCGCCATGCTGTGCACACGGTTTGTGAGGAGTTCTGTATGCCGGAGAATGCTTCGTAACAGTATATTCTAGTGGACTCTGACTATTCTTTTGTTGTTGTTCCATTTTTCGACGGCAGATTGCTCACGGGGACATACGTCGTGTAGGGCCACACCGACGTCGTGGAGGGCAACACCCACATATCTAAAATAAGAGACCGCCTTTTTTTTCCTGTGCTATACCGACTAATCTACTTTGCCGTCGTTTCTATTATCGTTGTCGTTTGTATCGGTGTCATCGTTTCTATCATCGTCGTCGTCGTCGTCGTCGTCGCTAGTATCGGCTCCGACAGGAGTACTTAAGTAAGATAGCCGCGCAGACCTTTTCTTTCACGGTAGGCCAGAGTGTTCTTTCGATAGTTGGGCCTAGGCGTTTCTATGTTCTCCGGACTCTATCCCCACGCAACCAAATATATTCAAGTCCAACTTCACCACATCCAAGAGGTCCAATACTGCAACATCAAGGGTCACCTCGGGGCCTGCCCGTCTAGGGAAAGCGGAGGACGACGGTATCCGGGACACTTGGATGATAACGCGCGATGGATCCTCTTGAACCCCACTTCCCTCGGCCGGAGTGACGAAGCGCGCAGAGACGATTGGTTCACGACATGCAGGGACGGAGAATAAGACGCCGCTAGCGAAGAAATGGCGAATCCCGAACTCGAGGTCCTCCATGGGTTCCGGTCGTTGGAGAACCAGAGTCTTCAGCGAGGATCCTTGCTGAGGCGCGGGAATAAAAAAAGACTGGGGTGGTGTTTTGCTACATATCCCACCCCGCCGCTAATCTGTCGAGACGGACACTCAACTCCGACAACCCGCGCGCCCGCCACAGACGACACGATTTGGAGAATCGTCGTGATAGTTACATTTGATCTGTTTTTGTGAAAAATGGCCGAGGAGTCTGAGACGGAACCGGTCCCTGCACCCGCCGCTGCAGCCCCGCCGGCGCCGCGACCAGAGCCGGCGGAGGCGGTCGAGATCGCCGACGAGGCATATGTCAGTCCCCGCTGCGACCCCGTCGTACCGGCGCCTTGGGAACAGAAGATCGCTGACAATACCAGGCTACGGATGACACGTCGTCCATGGACGAAAGAATGTGCGAACCCTTCTACTTTCTCCCTCTGATCGCCTTCGCATCATGCTAAATCTATCAGCTCATCCTATACTGCGTCACTCACGTCCAGCGTCGTCGACTATCCCATAGAGTATGGTCGCCGCTACCATGCGTACCGTCCCGGATGTATGTACACCTAAGCGTAACCTTGGCTGCCAGTTGAAGGCCTCACAAATCGCGTTTTGCTGACACCCTGTCTTCACACAAAACAGCTTACAAGTTCCCCAACGATGAGGTATGACTTTCACCAAAGAGGGAAACAATGCGGACATGACGCTGATTTTGGAGTCCCGCAGTTCGAGATGGACAGACTTGACCTCGCTCACGCGATGATGGTCAAGGCGATGGGCAGCGTTCTCTTTCGCGCCCCGCTGAAGAAGGATAAGGTGCATCGTATCCTCGACATCGGGACGGGAACTGGAATCTGTAAGTCCGAGTGCACTATGGTCTACGCCTGAGAGGGTCCGTATGCTCACCGTACAATCTGTCAGGGGCTGTTGAGATGGGAGACATTTTCGAGAATGCCGAGGTAATTTGCACCCATTCGTTACTCACCGATGAGACACGAGACTCAAGCGATGGCAGGTTCTTGGCATTGATTTGAGCGCCATCACGCCCGAATGGCACCCCCCAAACGTCAAGTTCGAGATCGACGACATCGAGGAGTCCTGGGTCGGCCACAAGAAGTACGATTTCATCTTCTGCCGCTACATGGGCGCCTCGATCAAAGACTGGCCCAATTTGATGAAGAACATTTATGAGTGAGTGACACACACACCCATTCACCTCCCGACGGCGGGAACAAAACACTAATAACAACATTAGCAACCTCGCCCCGGGAGGCTGGGCCGAGTTCCAAGATGTCAACACCACCTTCTACTCCCAGGACGACACCTACTCCTCCGAAACCGCGACGGCGAAATGGATGAACGGTTTCATGGAGGCCTGCTCCGCGACGGGCCGCGACCCCAGCGTCGGCCCGAAGCTCGAGGGCTGGGTGCGCGACGCGCACTTCGCCAACGTCGTCGCGGACCGCATCCGCGCGCCGCTCGGCCCGTGGCCCAAGGATAAGTGGTACAGCGAGCTCGGCATGATGAACCTGATCCTGACGCTCAACGGGCTGGAGGCGCTGTCGGTGAAGTTGTTTTCGGAGATGCTGGGCAAGACGCAGACGGAGATTGCGGTGCAGCTGGCGCTTGTGCGCAAGGAGCTGAAGAGCAACTCGTTCCACGCGATGTTTGATATGTAAGTTGTGTTGCTATCGGTCCTCAAGTATCTTGCTGATTTTGATCCAGTCATGTTGTTTATGGCCAGAAGCCGGCTCAACCTTAGCAATAGGGGCATGTATTCATTCTGCCAAGGAGCCTATCACTGCATTATAAAGTTTGGGATCAAATTCGAATCATACTATTGTTTAAAGCTAGACAATAAACATAAGAACAAAATGTGTGGTAAAAGCTGATATCAAGCTAGACTATCAATGACAACGGCATCATCCAGGCTTCAACACCAGCTCAGTTACCACCGTACGTCTGCAGCCAAAACCCAAGAAAAGCATAACCCCCGGCGCAGCGCACATTGGAGTTATTCGGGATCATGTACACAAACCCGCCCTGGTTCGGGCAGTACCCAAAGCCATAGGTGACGGGGTTCCCGCTAGGTGAACCACTCGACTGGCAATTGCCGTAGTAAGCACCGTTCGTGCGGCCGGTGTAAGTGCATGTGATGGGGTACCCTCCGGCGTCCTGCTCGGCGCTGAACACCCTATCGTTCGCCGTCGGGGGGTCCGGGAGGTAGAAGTCCATGAGCACCTTGGACGGGCTGTTGTAGTTGCGCAGCAGGCCGGCGTTGTCGACATAGAAGGGCGTTGCGACCGAGGCGTCACGGACGAGGCGGAGGGCGCCGTTGGTGTCGGTTGTGACGTAGAGACTTCTGTCACCACTGCCTTGCAGGATGAAGGGTGTAGGCGTGTTGGTGGGCGTGTAGGCGGCGAGGACGGTGCTGGTGGTCGTCACGGTTGTGGTTGCGGCGGGAAGGGTGGTCGTTGCGGCGGTGATGCCGTTGCAGGAGCAGGCGGAGGAGTAGCGCGCCGTGGGGCCAAGGGTGCCGATGGTGGACTGGCAGGCGGTCTGGATGTAGGATGGCATGCTGCTTGGCTTGTTCTGCGAGGGCGCGCAAGACGGGCTGGCAGCAGAGGTGGTGATGGCCTGCCGGGCCTCAATCGCCTCGCGCCTGAGCTTGCGGAGCCCCGGGTAGGGGTTGCTCAGGGTGGTAGTGAAGGAGGTGATGGTCGCGGTCTCGGTGACTGTGGAGGGGCACGGCGTCTGGGTGATTTGCATGAAGGAAGAGCAGTCTGCGGAGGCGGAGGCTGGGCCTGGCTTCGAGCCGAGGAGTGCGCGGAAGCAGTTGTCGCGGGCGCAGGTTGCCTGACGGCCGAGAAGCTCGTCCATAGGTGAGGCGGCTACATGGCTGGCGATGATGCCGCTGACCAGAGCGTTGAGGAGAGTGGACTTCATGGTGGTCAAGACTTTCTGAGGTGAGAAACAAGAGAAGGATAGAGTCTCTGGTGTTTTGGGAAGATCCTTTTGTTCTGACTGTCGAGAGATTGAGGACCAATATGATTCTCCTCGGGGTGGGATGGCTTTATAGACTGTCATCGGGTATGAAGTTGAAGTAACAGAGCCCAGTTTAAATACGATATCACCAGAAGCGGACGGAAATGGTCCAGCTGACATGAAAAGAGGTTCCAACCCTATCCGTCTTGGACATAGGATCTCCCAGCTGAACATCGTGAAAGCTAAGGAAGCCCCATCACCTCGCTTCGCTGAATCCCATGCCTCGCTTACATCCATCCTCGTGAAATTCTCGATTCGGCGGTTCCAGAAGCATGCAAAGAAAACATAGTCATGGTGAAGTGGAACTGCTGAGCTGCAGAGGTCTCGCCAAGCCCGACTTCCTCTGAATCGTCTTCCAATACAAGTAATGGCTGTACCCAATTAGGACACGCTCATGACTGGATATGGCAATGAGAAAAGCACGCTCCGAGACTGAATCCCGCAGCTGAATTGCATGGGTAGTTCAGCAGACCGGGGTACCTCACTTCCTCCGCATTCCAGGCTCTGTCCAAACCCACTTTGCCATGTGTACCACCGGGGCAGACGGGACCCCGGGGACGGTCTGGCCGCCATTCGAACGGTTGAGGCAGAGCGGCCCGCATGTTTTTTGACAGGCGTGGCGCCCGGTAGCTAGCTTCTCCGGCACTAGGTTACTCGTGCAGCTGTGTAATAGTGTGGACGCTATGCCGTTAGTCTCCACTAGCTGACTTAGGTGGCGGGCTGAGTGCCGGGGGATCAAAAACTTCCACGAGTCTCTCGCCCGATTTGGTGTTCACTGGTTTCTAGTCATCCGCATTGGGATATCAACACGGGAGAGAAATACTTTCCAGAGGGCAGTTCGTGTTGTCAACCTTCGTGTGAGAGGCATGCTTTGCTCAGAAGTCTAGACTTTGTGTGAATTTACTTTTGTACTTCATTGGTACGCCAAATACATGTAGCTGTGCACCAAATACATTCTCAGCGCTTCGTGTCTTGAATCCTGGCGAGATTATCATTTAAGTCCAACAACACATCGCATGGTCAAAGTCAGCAAGGAGAATTTCTCGGAATCGGATTCGCCGTCTCGGAGCATTGTCTCCTTCCAGTTTGAAATCTCCATTTGCAACCTACAACGGTCTCAGCCCCTTCTTCATGTTGGGCGTCAGATTGAGTCTCTCCCATCATCAGCGCAGCACCCTATTTAATCCTATTTAATCAATTCAACTAATTAGCTAATCAAAAGAGGGTATTTTTTATAGTTAATTAGTTAAAGTAATAATACCTTTATTTTAAGCGTTTTAATTAATCTAAAGTTAATTAGAAAAAAGTAATTTCTAAACTAATTAGAATTTTTAAAAGATCTTTTGGAAAATAAAAAAAGCTTATTTAGATATTTTAGTATTTAGCTTTATTCTCATTATTTAAAATTATAATTTTTTAAACTTTTTTATTTAAAATAAATAATTTAAATTAGTTTTAAACTAATATCTCTATAATTCTCTGTGTAATAAACTTATTATTAGTTTATTAGGTTTTATTGTAATAACGTACTTTACCAGTTAGCCGCGCATATCACTCAGCCGCGCACTTTTCCTCATCTTTCAAATATCGTATAAGTTTTTACAACCAGAACGTAGAAAATCAATTAGCTCTCATCAGTATCTGATTCACTAGACAATTCTACATCTTTAGAACACGTTCGCGTATTATGGCCTGTCTTGCCGCACACACTGCAACGCTGTTAAGCTGACTGACCCTTCTTTAATAGACCCCTATCTTCACCTTCTTAAGGCGCTGGACGTTTCCTTTTGCCCTTTTCTTCTAGGATAACCTGAGATTCTGCTATACTAAGTGCTCCTCTAAGCTGGATATATATCTTTTTTACTCTCTAGCGCTTAGTAAGCACTATATTAGCATCCTAAAGTGTGTATACTTAATCTATTAAAATTATAATTAAGTGTGTTATTACTTATGCATCTTGTGCTAATTAGTTAACTGCCTTAACTATTAGTATTAGAGAGCTTCCCTAATAAGCTGAGATCTAAGTTTTAATAAAGTTTAATTATAAAAGCATTTTATATTAGTTAGAGGGTATTTATAACTACTAGACTAATAGTATTAAGGGATTAGTTGCAGGAGATATAGGTGTTTATATATATATATTAAGTTTTTTAATTATATAATTTAAGTCCTATAGTAGAATATTAGCTCTATAGAAGGCAGATTCAATATTTTTATTTATAAAGATCTTATTATAAGCGTTATAGGAAGTAATAAAGAATTTAGACTTTATAATATAGTTAATAGAGGATTTAATGAATAAGTTAATTTCATCCCTATATATATATTTTAAAGGTAAGTATAATATAATATCTAAAAGCTAGAGTAAGTGAGATAAATATAGAGGTATACTAATAGTTATAATATTATTCTGCTTATAGTATTTGTTAAATTCAGCTAATAAATAGCCCTTATATCTATTAATTATAAGCATCTAATAGACACCTTTTATATAAGCCTAAATATACTTTTTAAAATATTTAATCTAATTTAGGCTAGTTTTATTATTATTCTATCTATTAGTAATTAGTTTAATCACTTAGTCGCCTAGAAAGCCTAATTCCATTAACTAATTAATAAGGTAATAAAACCCTTAAATAATTATAAAAAGTAAGATATATTATCCCCTCAAATTAATATACTTAATAACTACAGCTTATTTATAATTATTAAGCTAAATAGATTTCACTTTTCTATATCTATCAGCATATATAATAACTATTAAACTAATAATAACAACTATTATAAAGCTAGTCTTATTAAAATTATATACATCCTTATTATTAATACTATATTTAGCTATTATATTACCTAATAATATAAACTACTTTAAAATAACCTCTAGGTCCTCTTAAAATACCCTTTAATAATTATATAGATAATTAAATATAGTCTTTAGAGTTAGCTATAAGTTAATAAACCTCTTAGCTTAATACTTCCTAACAGGCATCTTATTCCACATCCACAGCAGGAGATTCACTATATCTTCCACACTAGCAAGTTATAAGGGAAATCCTCTAGAATCCTGCTTAATAACATATTAGAGAAGTGTTTTCTCTTTAATCAGATTGAGTTTATATCGTTAGGGCTAGATACAGTCGCAGCGTAGTTAATTATTTATTCTGTCGCGTAAAGTACTTTTAGGGATACTATATATCTTTGCAGCACCTTGCGTACTAAGTTTATAACCTAGAGCATGTGTCGATCGGATCGCCTTAATAGCAAGAATGATCTTATCTTCTTGGGTGTAAATTGGCATTGCGGTTATTGAGATATTATGCGTCAAAGGTTTAAGTGGCTGGGAATAAAGCGCGTCATGGAAAAGGTGCGCGGCTGACTGATATATGCGGCTGACTAGTAAAGTATGTTATGTTTTTTTTAAAAAAGTAAATAGTTATAGATATTAGTTTAATAATATTTTTAAGCTAATAAATATTAAAATAGAGCTAAATATTTCTTAATAGTATTAGCTTTATTATTAGAAAATGCTTCAAATATTAGGAAAATATTTTTTATTATGTTAATTAATTAATATATTTTTAGCCTTTTTATTAAAGCTTAAAGAAACATATATTTAACTTGTTTTAAATATTAATATTTTATTCTTATTATTATATTTTAAAATAAGGTTTTCTAGATTAAAAAACTAACTTTTAGGTTTATTATTAATATTAATAA